TGTGAGTGAGAGTGATGAATTTTTTCATAGCCTTTAATATAATGAAAAAAAATTCATTCTGAAATTCTGTCATTCATTCAAAAAACCATTCCAACACTTTGTCCATATCTATTGAAGTTGCATTTCCCTCATGCATATTCAGAAGACAACCGATGCAAAAAATAATGGATTGCTTACTTCATTTCTTGAAAACTCTTCTAAACATGCGACACAAATTATATGTTGTTGCTTATGCTCACTAATCTGACGAAGTCAGCCCAAGTCCACAAAATTCCTCGTGGCAAGGAGTGTTATATTACGTCTGCCTTGAGCATATTTCAAGGGGCAGTGCGATTTAGCTCAGTTTCACCCCCAGTTTTGATGAAGAGCACCCCATGGGGGATGGGTTCGGGGGTCTTCTACTCCTCTTCCTGTCCACCAAACCACACAAGAGGACTTTTTCAGCTCACCGCATATTTAGAGTACCACCATGCTGCATTGACACTATACATTTACAAACATCCATGCCTTCTTTGGGATTTGAACCCTGGCCCTTTGGCACAGCAATCAGTGAGGCTAACCACTATACCGGTTGGGTGGCACACAAATTATAGTAAATATCAAGACAAGATGAAATGAACATTGTTCCGAGAATTTTCCACAAGAAAAAATCTGATGTATACACCACATGATTTCCTTGTATGGAATATTAAATTGTATGCAATTTTTTGCTGCATTTCATTTAAACTCATTTCATCAAATTTCATTGTAGATATATTTATCATTCAATTAATTTAGTTCTCCCTTCATGACAAGGCAGAAAATACCTAAAACCTCAAAAGCTTCATTAAAAATTATAAAATATAGAAAAACATAAAACACTAAATACAGTTAAAATTAGAGTTTCTATACAAAAACAAGCAATTTTTCCAGCAAGCGAGGAGTCAGGTTTTTCGGTACAATAAAATTGGGAGTTTACTTTTGGTCCAACTCGGCAAAAAGACACTTACAGAAACAGACTTAATTCACTATTCTGCAAAGTTTAAAAGGTAAACAATTATGACTACTATTGTAAAAAAATTAGGCTTAGCTGCACACTTGAGCAACTTTGAAATTGTTGATAATTCTACAGCTATTGCTTGAAAACCAGGCATAAAAACCTTAACTAGAAGATAAGAACAACGTAATTCAACCATTTTTTAAGCAAAGAATGCACAATATACCAACATATAAGGGAAAAAAAAAAAAAAAAAAACTAAGCTCATGGAGCTGAGTAACAGAGTGGGTATATGTATATTTATAAACTTTTGGTGTGGCTGATTGCAATTAAAAAGGGAGGTACGCAGCTACATGTTATAGCAGTCGTACATACAAAATTTCAACGTTCTGAGGCTACTCGTGTTTGAGTTATGCGAGATGCATACATACCTGTACGTACAGACATTACGGAAAAAATCTCTTCTGATTCCATTTTAAATCCTTTTTGCAACCTGTTTTGGGCGAAAGAGTCCTTTACTGTTTTTCTGTCCTTTTTACGTCAGATGTCATGCAGAAACATCGTTAAATTGCATTTGATTGTGGTCAAAATGGATATTTTTGTGCGATTACAATACTTCCTTTATTTTGTACAAGGAAGTAAAAATAAAAGAATCCTGCATTCCGTATACTAATTGGTCTGAAGGTGATATTGAAATAAGAAAAGAAGCCATCCCTATCATTTCTTAGCAAAAAGAAGAGAAAAAATTTTATCCCTCCACCAAAAAGGCAAACAAAAAATGCCAAAGAAAGAAAAAAAAATCACTTTTCTGTAGATGAATATGGAATAGCTTGTAGAGTTGCCACAATGCTTGCAAGAAAGCAAAGCGTTAGGTATATTACATGTGGTATATCAGCAGGTGCGAGCTACTATTGAATTACTATTGAGCTACTATTGAATAATTTTAGAGGGAAAAGGTGAAAAATGCAGAATTTTATGCCAAGAAATGTGCATATTAAATGCTACTAAACCTGCCAGTATTAAGCAATTTACTCAAGATACTTGCTGAAAAATTTTCAGCTTTTTTGTTATGAAGATGTGTCATAATCTTTAACCATTAACCTTTTTTTAGGTAGATCAGTCATCTTTCTTAGGAAGAAAAAGTAATCTACCTAAACTTTTTCTAATAATAAAGTTTTCTAATAATATATGCTGTGACAGGGCTAGAAGTAATATTTTCTGTTACAGAGCTATAAGTAATATATGCTGTGACAGAGCTGCTTTTTTTGCTCACTGGTGTATGTCTGGAATAGATAGATCATGGCAAAATCCATTTTGCAATATATACACACCATACTTTTATTTTGGATTTAGTTTGCCATTGCAGTATTTTGTGGAATATTATATTTTTTAAATCCTTTTCATGATATATAATGAGTTATGATTAAAAATTTCACTTAAGCTGTTAAGTGAAATAATTATTTTGTTATGCGACATTAGTTAATTTTTTATGAATTTTTAGTAATTTTATTTAAAAATATTATTAATACTATTCAGTAATTTTTTGTGTTTAATTTTCCAGAATATTCTTCAAAAGATATAGAAGAAAAATTTAAATTGCTTGTTGAAAGTCATTTTCTGATTCGTTGTCCCTATCCTCACTCTTCTGAGAATAAATCAGTGCCAAATCTCACAATAGCTGAACATGAATTGTATATCATTCCTCAGGTAATTAATTTCTGTATAATTTTGTATGTAGCAATATTGTTTTATTATAAATATACACCTTAGCCATAAAGCCCTTATCTGGCCTTTATTTTTGCAACTGTTGGTCATATGCATATAATTCCAATTACAAAAATATCTGAAATGATGCAAGTGTTTTAATAATTTAAAAATAATTTAGGATAAATTACAAAATTTAACTTTTATACATTCCTCCAGTCTCTGTGCTATTATTTAGGAAAATGTTATGCTCATTATTTAAAAAAAAGAGGGGGTTGACTGTGTGTGACAAAAAATTGAAGAGTTATTTGACAATGAAATCGAGAATTATATTCAGATACAAAAATTGAAAAGCAAAATATATGCAGATGACATAACTAAAAAAAAAAAAAAAAAAAAATTTTTTTTTTTTTTTTTTTTTTTAGTAAGAGATAACATGCTTAGCATTTCTATGCAGATTATTATGAGAAGAAATGTGTTTTATGATTATTAGATTATGATTCTAAACTAATAAAACTGCATGAGACCATTAACATATGTGTTGCCAAAGCTGATTAAACATTCACATGCATGCAATCCTATCTGCATTTTTATGCTTTTAATTTATTTTCTGTTGTTTTATTATACTAGTCTGTGGAGTTCCAAGTCCTTGTTAAAAAAATCTGTGATCTGTTATAAAAATTTTGTTAAGAATGTACAGCTCATTGTGACTGTTTTTATTGATTTCACTTCAAATCATAAAACTGCTTTCTTGGTAACATGTTTTTTCCTAAGCAAGGAAAGGGAAGTTGTGTGTTCCTTGCTTCCTGATCAGACCATATCCAGAATCATGGCTGTATCAGTTTTTAAATTGTTGCCACCAAATATTATCGCCCTATATTTAAAGAAATTAAATAATCATGAAGCTGCATGAGTGTATGTATATTTGCCTCATTGTGGAAAAACAGCGATATCTGGAGCCATCAGATTGAATAACATAGTCCTGCACCCAAATATGGGCACCTGGAAGTCCAAATATTGAATTTTAAATTTGGTTTATTATCTGTTTTATATTTTTAAACTTTAATTAATTTTATTGAGAAATTATATAATTTCAAAGCGGGCAGTGGCAGCACACTGTACAGAATAAAATATTTTTATCTCCAATGTGCAAGACAGTCTGTAGGAAATTCAAAAGGTATGCTGTTTTTAAATATTTTTAGCACAGAGGGGCATTAGCCTAAATGCTGTCAAACCGTGTAAATGAAAATGGGGGGGGAGGGTGAAACCTGCTCATTTGGCAATAATATAAAATCTGAAAGCTTTAAAAAAAAATTTTTTTAATTTATTGTGGAAAATGTATTAAATTTTTTAGGAAGTTTTTTAGTTCATTTTGTGTTGCCTACTGTGTGTAAGAACTGTATTCTAAAAGTCTGTTTCAATCTTTGGGTGGCCAGCAGGCAGTATGCAGCTGTTTATATTTAAGTGATTTTAGTATTGCAAGGAAATAATTTTTATACTAGTTGCTATTTCTTTGCCCATTTCAGCATTTGTGAAATAATTTCTTTATTAGCATGGAATGAAATTCCAAAAAACACTATATATCATAACTGAATAATTTTTTCGTGGGGGGTCAAAGAGATATTTCTTTATTTTCCATTTTCCTTTTATGGTCTCCTTTTTTTTATTTATTTAGCACTGTATTTACCATAATTATCAATATACTTTCATATTTGATCTTAAGATTATTTTTAAATCAGTTCTTGATAGAACCACCCCCTTTTTTTAAGCATTAGTGCTATATTTTGATATAGTAGAAATGGGTACTTTCTTATTATTATGGCCCCTGTTTTGTTAACGATGCTGATGATTATAAATTAATTGGCAATGCAGATCATCTTCAAATGGCCAGCAGTCTTAATGATGATTATTTATAGTTTGCTTGTGATGAGAAAAGCTTCAAGTAAACCACTTGTTATGGTGCTTTTTTTTTTTCATATAGATGTTAACAGTTCACTATCACTCATAATTCTGTTATCATGAAAAAAGTAATGTTCCACATGTTAAAATTATTTTCTTTCAAAAAAAATGTTTGCTTTACAGAGAATGGAATGAAAATCTGTTCATACATGGAAAAAACAATGTAGGATTCTTTTTTTGCTCAATTCTGAATAGGCAAAAATCATTGGCCATGAACAAGAGAGATCAAGACTGTTGGTGAACATATGAAAAGATGAATTGGAAAAAGCAAGTCAGAGACGTTTTATTGTGAACCATTTTACTGTGTTTTGTTGATCTAATGACAGCTGCTCATACACAAAATGTTGAAAGATTGCAACTTTCTACTGAGTGGTGGATTAAAAGACAGCAAGGCATAGTTCGCCTACCTTGCAGAATTCATGTGACGAAAGTCCTTGGGATGAAAAAATACCTCCAATGTGTTATATCGAAAGCAATTAAAAATATGGCTGCCACAAATTGTATGTAAGAAGTAAACATGAACGTTGTGATATTCCTGTTGCAACTTGGATGGCTAGCCATCCAAGTTGGAACAGGAATATCACATGGCTAGGGTGGCTGTAATAATAAGAAAGAGTCTAGAAATGTCATATATTTAGTCTTAATATAATGCCATTAAAATTAAGTTGATATGAGTAAGATTAAAATACCAGCAAAATATGTGTTTCTATCTGTAAAGTTTTGTGTTAAGTTTATATTGTTTTGAAGCAGTGACTTTTCAAAGTGAGATGCTAATGAGATACTCTAATTATATATATATGTATTAAAAATATGTATTAAAAAGTCGAGTAATATGTATTAAAAAGTCGAGCCTGAAAACATTCAGAAGTATAATTACACATGCTATATGAGAAAAGAGACAAATTAAAAGAGTTATAGGGATCTTATTCTTTAGGCATATCATGTAGTCCATTTCTTATAGATGACCTTTCTTATAAATGTGTTGCTGCCTTAATTGTGGAACTGATCTAGTTCCCTTCCCCTCTTCTTTTTTCATGTTCCATTTATTCCATTCGTTAATTCCATCTCATTTGCTTACATAATTTTAAAGCACATTGTAGTATGTTTAAGGAAAAAAAGTATTTTCCTGAAAATTAAAATTAATAAATGGTTAATTAAAAAAATAACTAATAATGAATTTTTGTATATTGCTAAAAGTAACTGCATTTAAAGTTTAGCTAAATTGTGCATATTACTTAAATATTACATATAGTTACTACTGCAGAGGCAGACTGTATTTGATTTCATTTATTTAATTTTTATGCAGTTATGATAAAAAAGTTGAAGTGTTCGACATCATTCTGCATTCCAAGATGTATTATTTTATCAGATTATTTTATTTTTTTCTTTATTCAGATTAAATTACATCTGTTAGAAACTGACAACACTGGAGAATCAGAGCCAAAAAAACAAAAAATTGAATTTCCTGATAGTGGAATTTACTGGCGCATCAATTATGTTCGATTTAATCAGTATTTTAGGTATGTTTTTTGTCTTAGTAATGGTTAGTAATGGCAGTTAGATTGAAGTTACTTTGTTATTAGAGAATTATTTTAATAGCTAATTGTAATTATGTTTAATGAATAAAATCTGTTTGAAATATAATTTTTGGGAAATGAAAGGTTACAAAATTTTGTATATAAAGATTTGAAATATTCTGATCATTTGTTATATATAAGCGTCATTAATAATGTTTTTGCAAAGTTTAGATGTTTCAACTTTACCTAATTTTATATGAGCTATGTAATTAAATTATTGTAATAGTATTGGTATTGAGTAGTTTCTTTGTATTTTCTTGCTGTAAATTTAATTTTATGTGTATTGATTGTTTATAAATAAGAAATATATTCCCTTTTTTTTTTTTTTTTTTTTTTTTTTTTTTTTTTTTTAGGGATGAAGCTATAATAACTGCATGCAGCAATTATTTTGGTGAAAAAGAAGCAGAAATTGTGAAGACTATACTGATGTTAGCCGACACAAAAGCAAATGCTCTGACACTGACTACAAATGCTATACCATATTATGAGATATTGCAAAGACTGACGAAAACAATTAATATGAAGTCACAGGTATGAATTTTGTTTCATTTATATTAGATAAATTCTCAGTAAAATGATTAAGCCCTTCCTCCACTTAAATTGATATTAGAAGATGTTTCAAAATCTTTCATATCCAGCAATGAAAAGGGAGGCATCTTTTGCTTATACTTTATTTCAACTGCTTTTTACTTAAAAATATTCATATATGGACTATGTGCTATTAAACGATGCCAAACTAACCAACCATATTATTCCGTAACTAAACTGGCTTGCTTTTTAGTAAGGGTGGCATCTCTGAATTTTTAGAAAAGGTATTTTGATGAATAAGGTGTAGAAGTGTAGCTAGTGCTATTTTGTGCGTAAGAAAATTTTAAAGACAAATATCCAGATCATACTTTGTCATCTTCTGCTAAGATATGAGCTAAATAAATATACATAGATAAAAATGTCAAACATTTTTTGTCTTTTTTTTTATGTTTACAATTTCATTTTTTATGAGCAGTTTAAAACATGTAAAAATTTGCTCTAGAACAGAGGTTCTCAACCAAGGGAATTTCTGTATGAGGGATGCAGTCAACCTTTTATTTACCTGTTAAGTATTCAGTTTATAAATATGAAAAACTACTTTAAAAATATATATAAAACTCTTTTTATTCACTTTTTGGTACTTATCTGTTCTTTTTCTTGTTTAATTTATAAAACACATTAATAGCTAAATTGAAATAAATATGTATTTCAAATTTCAGAGAGCGGGGAGAATGATCATTTAAATGAAGGGAGAAAGGGATTCATGGGACAAAAATGGTTGAGAACCATTGCTCTAGAATCATGTATTGTTATGGTAAAAAATGTACATCTGTAGAAATGTCAGATGGTGTTTTGCATTTGCATTTCAGCAAATTCCTTGTATCAAGTCCCATTACGTAAATTGATTCTGTATACAAGTATATTTATTTATGTGTGATAGAAAATTCGACTTATCAGCATATCTATCTATATATTGATGGTGTTTCAAAGTAATTTCATTTTTCAATTAAGGTTGCATAAAAAATCTGGCTTTCATGTTTGCACTCATGATTCCTCTGAACTGGCTGATTAGAAATTACAAGAAAACTTGATGAATTGTGTAAGCAGTGTATCTATAAAATAGCCAACTAATGTGCTTCTGGGGTAAGAGTTGTTAAACTTATAATTGTTAGCTTGTCCAAAAAGTTCTGCACTAAAGTCATAACAAACACAAATTTCTCCAAATTTTGAAAGTCTGTTTTATTTATTCTACTGTGTTTATTCCACCGTATTATACTACTATTCCCAAAGTTATGAGAGATTGTTGAAAATAGGATTTCAACTTGCTGTCAAAGAAGTTCTGTAAGGCAGACCTTCACCCTTTTAAGAAAATTTAATTTTTTCTGATGCAGTGAGTTTTGTAAGGACTGGAACAAGTGGTAGTCAGATGGTGCCAGGTCCAGCAAATATGGTAGGTGCAAGGTATCCCACTGAAACTCCTGGAGCATTCTCCACACCTCCAGTGAAACAAGAGATCTGCAATTTTTAGACATTTTGAATTGATCACCACTTTCAGTTCTACTACTTGATGACTGTAGAGTTCGTTGTCTGATAAGGAAGTAGTGCGAAATAGAAAACTCCTTTGTGATCCCACCAGACAGACTGCAAAACTTTTTTGGATTGAACCCTGGCTTCATTGTCACCTAAGCATATGGAAGCATTCATCACCACCATTAAGGAAGCAATTTTAACGTTACATAATAAGGAGGAAATGAATGTGCTTTATGATGTCTGTTCAACAACAATTACAATGAACAATGGTTTAAATTTTAGTAGTTAAATTATTTGAACATGCTTTGTAAAATGTTGTGTTGGTTTCTTTAATCTTGCAGGAATTAGATTCTTATCTTTCTACTCTATGTGATGGTGCTGAAAGTTTTGTATCTAAAGCTGATGATCGAAGTGGGGGCATGTATGTTGTAAATATTGGGAAGATTTTATCACGTTTGGTTCAGTCAATTGCTATTAGTGTTATTCAGGATAGATTTGGATCAAAATGCGCAAGAGTTTTTAGGTATGTTTAATATCTTTTGAGTGCAAATTAATCAGTTTTTTAATTAATAGTTTTAACTTATTATAATATGCAGCTGAATTGCTACTTTGATTTTTGAAAAAATTTCATGCTATTACTTTTATGTTGTTATTGAATTTTGATGAATAAAATAAGTATAAATATGACTCCTTAGATTAGTTACTTTTAAATAGTTCTAATGTTTTCATGTATTATGTTTCTAATGGTTTTTTCCAGGATTATACTGGCTAAGAAAGCCCTTGAGCCAAAGCAGATAGAAGAGCTAGCTATGTTGTTACCTAGAGATACAAAAGAATTTATCTATAAATTATTTGAAGAAAGCTTTATTTTGGCCCATGTAAGTTTATTCTGAGACTTGTTCTCAACTGATTCATCTTTGACCTGAGGATTTATGCAACTTTTTGTTAGTGCAGATTTATTGCCATCATTTAAAAAAAAATTATTGCTGCTTAATCATTTATTTTTATTTTGTAAATGATTTTCCTTTTAAAATTTTATTCAAACTTTTAATACAGCAACTAATAATAAATTTGTAGTATATTGTAAAATCTGATTATTTAACTTTTTAGTGTTTCTATCTATAAATGTTAAATAAAGTTCATTTGTAAAATTCCCTAGTCTCCTGGTCAGAATGGGATGGTATTAATTTTTACGATGGTAAAATATTATTGTATGACTAATTGTTAGAATAAATGTTAATAATGTTAGAAATGTTTTATTTATAATACTAATTTTAGCATATGGCTTTGTTGTTCTGACATTATGATATCATTTGTGCTGATAAAAAGGTGAGAGTTTTCTGTTTGAAAATCTTATATGTATGTATGTATCAGATGTAATCAAAAAGTTTCTAGTTAGTGACTGTATTGTCAGACAGGTTTACTCTGTTTTTGAGGAAATTGCTACCAACATTGAACCAAGTTAAAAGTACTCTTTATAGAAGTCTGTTACCTGCATCATATCTTATCATCATTGTCTAGAACTGATATCCTTTCATGGATATTTCCTGAGGCCTGAAAATGGGGGCAAAAAATCTGATAGTGAAATATCTGAATTCTAGGGCCAGGATGTAAAATCTAAAATTGCTAACATCTGCTTCTAATTTTTTGGCTATACGAGGGTGCTCATTGTCACACAGTAAGATGATTGTATAAGATTACAGGCAAAAAATTAAAATCTAAACATCTACAGGTATGAAGTCTTGACACAGCCTTGAAAAGAAAAGCCGATTAGTCTACTTTGGGTGCATTTTGCAACAACAATACCACCAAGTATTCCCACATATATGGAAACACAATTCTGAATGTATCAATTGTATTACTAATCATATAGCATAATTGCAGTCATTACATTAGCTTACTTCAGGTAGTGGAAGCATCATACTCATAAATATTGTGTTAAAGTAATGTTCCCCTCCCTACTGTATTTAAAGACATAATTGTTTTTTTTTTTTTTTTTTTTTTTTTTTTTTGAGGGGTTTGGGTTTATGTTCCTTTCGGAACATAAAGTTAGACATTTTTGCCAAATGAAAATTCTGTAGAACCTTACAGTTTTGACCAGAAAAGTAATGACAATCCTAAGGATATATTTCAGACATATTGCTGCTTGAAATGTAATTGCATGTGAATATTTCAGAGTTTCATGAAGTTAATAATTCAGTCAAACCAGTTTTGGTTTCACAGTCCTTTCTTCTCATGCCAGTTTATCGCCTATTCAATGTTACATTAAAGTTAAAATATAATTTCATCTTGTGGTTATTGAATAAAATTTTTAATTGTGGATAATTTCTTTTTGATGCAAGAATTTAATGGCAGACTCTTCATCATTTAGTATTTTCCATATTGTAAAATTCATCTTGATTCCTTCATCAGAATCTGTCACAAAATTATGCCTGAATCCAAATGTTAAAATCAGTGTTTGGTATGGTTTGTGCTGTAAAGTTTGTTATAAATGGTATATTTATTTACCCACGTTTTCTTTGCTTTCCTTTTAATAAAATGGTAATTTGCTGGATTGAAGCTGCAGAGGGTTAATCTTCAGTTATCGTTACGAGTTTAATGACTTTTAAAGAATGTTTCTTTAGCTATAATAAAAAAGCAATAATCAATAGAATGTGGTAGTTTATTCAGTATTAATATAGGTTCAATATTGGTTATCATCTAATATTGAATTAGAAAGTATTTTCCAAATGTTATCAGACATACTAAAAGCTGTCTCTATTCATTGTTGACATCTAAATGGCAACATAGATTCATGCTTAGGTAGCTTTTATGTTGGAAAATTTTACAGTATTGTAGGCCCTTGAGATAAACCATGATCCGGGAAAGGGATTGTATTCATAATAGATTGCATGCTAGCATCTGCTATCAAAATGAACACATGATGGTAACTGAATGAGACTGAATGTTGCATAATTATTGATATTTAATCATTTCTCGTAAATTTCAGGTATCACATGCAGCAGTGAGGGGTGCACTAGTGAAATGAAAATCTTAAGAAAGTTATTAAATTGTAACATTGATTTACAAAGTTAAAATGAAATGACAATTTAGGATCCTTGATATCTCTCAGATGTGGTGAAATGAAATGAATAGGCCTTTTTAAAAAATTGTAGCTACATTTTTTTTTTACTTGTTTCTGGAATATGCAAGATTCGGCTATTAATTTCCAGGTCCCATGGAATAACTCAGAAGAAAAAAAGGTTAAACACATAGCTATTTAATTCAAAGTAATCCCCATCAGCTGTAATGCACGTCTGTGCTCAGCTGTACAAATTTCGCAAAGAAGTTTTAAAGTCCTCTTTTGGAATTCTCTTTAATAGTGACGTTACAGTTTTCTTGATGGCTTCGACATCCTGAAATCTTGTTACCTTCAGTGAATTTTTCAGCTTAGGAAACAAATTCCTATTGTCGAAGTGAAAATGGAGAAAAAGTCTGCGGGTGCTAGGCGTAGAGAGTATAGTGGATGCTGCATTTCAATGACACCTTGCTGGTCTAAGAATCGCCTCACAGGCAACGCAATATGTGGGCGGGCATTGTCATGTAGCAGCAGCCAACTTCCATTTTGTTGAAATTGAGGCCTCACTCTATGAATTCATTTTTGAAGTCAGTCAAGAACTTCTTTGTAGAACTGTCCATTGATAGGAGGAAGAAATTCATGATGAATGAGTCCATTGCAATCGAAGAAAGTGATAAACATGACCTTGATTTTGGACTTTTCAAATCGAAATTTTTTCTGCCTTGGTGAACTTGGAGACTGCCATTCGGACCTTTGACGCTTGGTTTCAGGGTCATGTTGATAATATCAAGACTCATCTCCCATTACTATCCTATCCAGGAATGCAGGGTCAGCATCAGAGTTGTCGATAACTTCGCCACATGTGTCCAGTCTCAATTGCTTTTGTTCGACCCTTAAATGGTGAGGAACGAATCTGGAACAAATCTTGCGTCAAAATTCGCCGAACTGTCTCTTTGTCCATGTTGAATTCATTGGCGAGTACTTGATCAGTCAATCGACGATCACATTTCACCATATTGCGAACTTTTTCAAATGCTTCCGGTGTGTGTGCGGACTGCGGCCGACCTGTGTGTGGATCATCTTCGATGCTTTCGCACCCGTCCTGAAAGCGTTTAAACCATTCAAAAGTTCTTGAGTGGTATAATACTTCCTCGCTGTAAACTTGTTCTAACATTTCATAGGTTTCCGCAGCTGTCTTGCCCAATTTGAAGCAAAATTTAATGTTAATTCTTTGCTCCATTTTCACTTCGACAATAGGAATTTAAGAGCTACGTTTTAATGCGCCTTTCCACAAGAACCATTTACTTCAGAATGGCACCGATTGCACTGCCCATGCGCAAGAAAACGCTCTTCAATATGCAATTATTAGCGCCATCTTCCGACTTTTCGTTCTCCTACAGTTACGTCTGTCCTGGAAAGTAATAGCCAGAACTTGTATATCAGATCTGCCATTCATTAGGAACTGTCCATATTTGGATTTTATGGGTGAAAGGCAGCATGTAAGGCAGTGACTACTATATGGAGCATTTCTTGTTGATTATAGTAGTATGAAAGCATTGCCATATGGCACAGGCACAGTAAAGCATCATATTATGGAGTAATTAATCATGCCATATGTTCTGAAAATCAGATTGTACATAAAAAACATGGTTACTGCTAAAGGAATTTTACCCAAAATATTAAGTGCCGAAGGCTTACTAGACTATACTACTAGAAACAGTATTATTAATTACTAGAAACAGTATTAGACTATTACATTCTGCTTAGTATGTAAAAACAGTTGGCAACTGATTTCCTGCTTCTAAATTCACATTTCTAACAGTGTAAGTTTTTTTATTATGCTCAGCAGAGAAACATCATAAAATTATAGCTTTTAAAGTAAGATTACATGTTTTTAGAAATAAAGCAATGTTTTAGGCAAAAAAAGGCTATTAATCTTGTAAAATGTGAGATATTATTCTTCATATTTAGTCTGTCTGTTATTAACATTCTAAATTATTTAAAAGCAATACATGATATTCATAAGACTGTTAATTTTAATTTTTTTAATCAGATTGATTTCAATAAAATGCATTTAATTCATGATATATCTCATTAAAAACAAAATATTTTTATAAAATAACGTTACATGTTATTTTACTTTTTAAATATACAGAATATATCTAAAGCTGCCAAAAGTCTAAATGTGTATTCATCTAATATCCTATAAAGCATTTGTATTCCCTCTGAGCCATCTCTATCGATAATCCCTGCTGATAACTTTAAAGGACCTATTTTGGGCAATCACTGAAATCTGAACCCCTTCCTTTTCGCCCAGTTTTAGTATTGTTTGCTTTCTCCTCTTTTACATTTCTATTAAAATTCCATTATTTAAAAGTGCTCCTTTGGTGCATATGGCACCTAAATCTGGTGGCATATTTGCCTAGCTGTCATTAAAACCAACTAGTACCAAAATGATAAATCTATGTGATATACTGTGATTTTATTCCATTGTTTAAGTATTGTTATTAAATAAGCAAGAATTTGAATAATTTATGTGTATTTTATTAAAAACAATTCTACAGGATGTTGCAAAAGGTCCAGACTTTTCACATGGACAAGCCATTTACCTTCTTCGAGTTGATATGAATCAGGTAAGCTAATTAAATATATTTTGCATGAACACTGGTTTTTAATGAAATGATTTTAGTCAAAGCCCTTTTGTTTTTAAAATTATATATGGCCTTTTTTTATACCACTTTTAAAAATTTATATAAGCTGTTACTGAAAACTGAGGTGCAGAATAGCCCTATATTCATATACATGTATATATATTTTGCTGTTCCAAGCAGTCATCCCCCCTTTTTTATGACATATGGACATCCAACCCTTGGTGTCTACTGCCGATTTCACCGTCATTTATCTGCTTTGCATAAATACTAACAACCTACCAGTCATGCAGTTTTGGAGATACTTACTCCGAGTCTTTGGGCTATTACAATCTGCCCTCTATCAAATTCACTAGATTAGCAGCCTTTCTCATGACTCGCAGAAATAAGCTCAAGAATGATTCCTTACCTTCTTCAGCAGCAGTTAAATACTATTCCCACTTAATCATGTGCCTTCATGTCATCCAGATGAGTTCATAGAAAAATGTGGGGATGGTCATAATGTTTTGGCTCGTCGGTGTATATATATGTAATACAGAGTTGCCAATTTTCCCGATTTTCGACCGCTCTCCCGCCAACCCGATTTACAATATAATTCACCTGACGTTTTCTTATTCTTAAAATTTCTCACGATTTTTATGGAACTTGGCTTAATATTTTGTTATATGAACAAAACAAAGAACAAAAAAAGTGATTTTGGACGTCTGAAAGCAATTGAATTTTCTCTAGATTATATCTAAAAGAAAACCTTGCGAATTAGATAACTTTTGCTTTGTGAGTGAGAGCATATATGTATCCAGAAACGTCGTTCTCCAGTTCTCCAATGGACATCGTGCTCCACTGCGTGTCATCTGGCATATATTAACTAATGAGGACAAAGCAAGCTGTTATTTGAATGTTCTTTAGTTATTTCGGTCATTTTGTCCTGTGTGTGAGTACACGTGCCTTCGGAAAATAGTTTTAGAAATTATCATGTTTTGTTATGTCTGCAAGAAAGGTGAAATACTCGTGTGCATTTCAAAAATCGTACACAGTTGATTTTCCTTCCATTATTTCCTCAAGGAAATGGAATAAATTTTCAATGTGTATCACCTGTCGTTGCAATTTTTTGATTTCGCATGGTAGAAGGGCGGATGTTCTCAAATATGTGCATACACAAAAACACAATGACAACAAGAGTTGTTTTGAAAAAAAAAAAAAAACGAAAAATTAAATTTTTCTTCGGGAACAAAGGATCAAAAAGTTATTAATGCAGAATGTCTGTTCTTTGCCTTTTTACTGGAACACGACCTGCCACTGAATGCATCGGATCACGGTGCAGCTTGATTTAGAAAAATGTTTCCCGATAGTGAAATCACTAAGAAATACTCAAATGCAAAAACCAAAACAGGTGCAATTGTTAAAGAAAAGGATTTGAAAAATAAATCTTCAGTTATTGATTGCATTAAAACAGCTCCGTTTTGCCTCTCTATGGATGGAAGCAATAATACCGATTCAAAACCGTATCCGATTGTTGTTTCTTTTTTTAATCTAGAATCTTCAGAAATTGAGTGCAGTTTACTTTCTCTCTCCACTTTAGAAAGACATTTGACAGACTAATAGCACAGCTAATTATTAAAACTTTAAAAGAAAATGTAGTCCCTCTGGATAATTGCTTAGCACTTGGTGCCAATAATGCACCAGTATTGGTAGGCTTGGAAGACTGGTGTTGCAGGCATCTTAGGAAAATTCAAATTTGCATATTATGAGGTGTACTTGTCACCTCTTAATTTAGCAGCTGAAAAGGGGCAGCTTCTTTTACCAATAAATGGGATGAACACATTGTTGATATTATTATTAACTTGAAAGGACTAAAAGGAAGGAAAAAAAACGTTCCAACAGCTGCATAACAGCAGTTTACAATTAGAAAACTTGGATAAAGTTATAAAATCAGCTAGGATTAACACCCAGTGAAGTTTAATTGGGAAACTGAAAGATGCTGATGGAATTTTAAAATATAGTGAACTGTCTAGAATTATGTTGGCCATCTTGACAGTTCCCCATAGTAATGCAGAGTGTGAAAGGATTTTCAGTGTTGTTGCGAAAACGAGGACTAAATTTAGATCTAATATTAGTGATGACACATTAGAAAAACTTTTATTAGCTAAAGCAGGCCAGGGTTGCCACGCTACCTGGAAAACCGGGAACTGGAAAATGTCAGGGAATTC